GTGATGACATGAATGCATATATATTTACATGAAAAGATATCCATGATATTAGATATGATATTGCCAAATTTTAAGAAGATACAAAATAGCATTTACAAACACATTTTTAAAATGGAGGAATAAAAGTGTCTATAAGAAATTCACATAGTTATACCCAAGTCTACCACTGCAATCTCTTGGTGGTAGAATTATATGATTTTCATATTTTTCTTTATACATGTCCTATATCCTCTCCATTTTTATGGTGAGCATACATTGCTTATAATTAGAAAAATATTTTTTCATGGGAAGAAGAATAAAAATTTGCTTTTACCATTTCAAATTGAGAAAACTAGTAAAAAAATCTAATGAAAAGAACTAACTGAACAAACAACAAAAATGTCCAATAACGAAACAGGGAAGTTTGGGGAAGTGTGCTGGGTTAGAATAGCAGACACGTTAGCCTTCTTTGATTTATAATGTGGTAGGAAACTATACAGGACAGTGTGGGTGAGTCCAAGAATAATGGAAGAGACTAGGGCCCAAACTGTGGAAGAAAAAGAGCCAAGGTCAGATTTTGGGAATTCTACATAAGATGGGAGGGATAGGTGTAAACTTTCCATGCTTTCCTTCAGGCTCTCCTCCCTCTTACTCCCTTCACACTTCTTTTCCAAGTGATAAATTGTCATTATTTTCCACATCTAATGAAATGCTCTGTTCCCTCATAAAGTTAATAAATGAATGACAACGATTACCTTTGAAATTAATAGGAAAAGCTTTATTTTAAAAGCTCAAAACTCAGTGAAGAAGTGTTCTTTTTGTACCTCTGTGCATTTGAAAAATTTCTTAGGTTTCAGAATTCCTTTTGTGTATGGTGTGGTTTTACTTCTTATTTTAATGTGTCATTTCCTTATTTATCCTTTGAAAAGGGAACTCTGACCTTTGTTTCAGTCTACAAACTGAAGCTCATATCCTGACAGTTAACAGTTCCTAGGAGTGAGGAAGCCAAGTATATATATTCAGCCTATAGAAGACTTCTTCATATCACAAAACTACCAGTGTTCTCAGAGGGAAAATAGAGTAGCTGCTATTAAGCATCTTCCCTACAAAGAAAGCAAATGAGGCATCACAAACAAGGCATCCAAACAACCACATTTCCTTGCAATGTTTGCATTTTCCTTCACTAGAGAAAAAAAAATCTTCTAATCTCAAGCCTTTGTATTAAACAAAATCATTTCTTACGAAAGAATCCCAAAGTTAACTAGTAAATTTTCAAACAGTAAGTCTAGTTTGTGGGAATTAACTAGTGATAACATACGGTGCTAATTTAAAAATCATGATTAGGAGAAATAAATCATATATAAGGAAAACCCTTTATTTTGTACCTTTGTTTCAAATACTGGGAATGATACAGTCGAAATTGTGAATTTTTCCGATGCTCCCCACTCCATACTCATGAGGTCTTTACCAAAATTATTTGCTGGTGTACTGTAAGATGGGCCTCTATTGTGATCTTTTGATCTTTTGAATATGAATAACCAACTATTAGAGCATTGTTGAATAGTCAAGGTTTTATGTATTGATTTGTCACACTAGCAAGGTCTCCTACTAGACTCTTGGTTTATTATCAATACAGCTGGAATAATTTAGTTACACATTGAAGGCCAGTCTCAGGAGGATCAAACTTTTCTAGGTTTCTTATTGCTATACTTTTAGGAAGTGACTTGACAAGTAGAGGAGATAATGATGATTACTAAAAAATTCAAAACAAGATCTGTCTCTAAGGAAGCCTTAATCAGCAAGCCTAGCATCTGATTTCCTGAGTATAGCTATCAATGACAAATCTTATTTTCCGCAAAATATCTTTTGGGCTAGATATACCATGATCATTGTATACAGTATTGTAATCTAGTGTTTTGTGTATGTTCTTCACGTTATGAGGAGAAGACATAGACGATAAAGGTGTTGGAATGCAGATTTGTCTGCATTGTTCTGAGCAATGTCAAGCCAGCCATGCAAATATAAAAGCTGTCCACAATGATCCAACAGTTTGTTACAACAGTCTCTCTGTATTACCACTTCCTGGGCTTGCCTGATACTATCACAATGCAAAGAGTAGACAGATATTTAACACTATTCTTTCTTTGACAATGAATAAACAAATTTGTCAAAATACCTTTTAAACTGTATTTACAATAATAATTTAAATTGAATTTACAATAGCATAGTAACAGAGGAGCACCAAAAAGACTATGGTTATAGGGAGTCAATGAAATTCTTTAAATAAGCTTACTAAGAAGAAAGGCTCTTCAGTAAAAGGATGGTCTGACTCCTTAGGCTGAATGAAAGGATGCCAGCTCAAAATAATTGGTACGCTGAGAAATGCAAATTAAAACAAAATAATACTTTTTGCCCATCAGATTGGAAAGGTTAAAAAGACTGATAATATCCAGTGTGGAAAAGGGTTTAGAAAAATGGGTATTCTCTGGGGCACGCTGGGGGCTCCGGTGGTTAAGCATCCAACTCTAGGTTTTGGCTCAGGTCATGATCTCATGGCACATGAGATCAAGGCCCTAGTCAGGTTCTGCACTAACAGGGCATAGCCTGCTTGAGATTCTCTCTCTCTGCCCCTCACCCCCATGAGCACTCACTCTCTCTCTCAAAATAAATAAATAAACTTTTAAAAAAATTGAGTATTCTCAGGCAGGGCTAATAGAAATAAGTTAGTACAGCCTTTTAGAAAGGAAATTTATTTTATCTATGAAAATTTCAGATGTACACACCCACTGACTCCTCAATTATACTTCTACACCTCTATCCTAGAGAAATAATTTAATTTTGGATAAGAAACCAAAATATCAGTTCATGGGAAATGGCTAATAAATTATGGCCCTTCATATTACAGAATACCATGCAGTGCTTAATAGGAACATGCTAGACCTACAGGTGCAGCTGTGAAAAGATCTCTTAGACATAATGCTAAGTGTGTGGAGGCGGGGAGAATCAAATTTCACAGTAACACTATAGTGAAGATCTGTCATTCATAATGCCCCAAATGTTCTGAACCCACTTTCTCCACACTATGAATTCTACCTTCCCAAAGTAGACTAAAACTACGAAAATAAAAACAAGAGCAGAAACTATAAACTATATTACCCAGCTTCTATCATAGCTAGTATTAAAGTACGTGGCTAGGAACTACACATGGCCTACAGTCAATCAGAAAAATCAAGGTGTTAGATGTGAGACAGAGTCTGGCAAAGGATATCTCTTTAGCTTGGGTGGCGTGTCAGTGGAGGCAGGATGTTTTGAGGTAAGACCACAGAGGCTTACCGATAGGAGAAAAGGTGATGTGTTTTGAGGGTCAGTGGCTGCATCAATCCTTTATCAAGCCATTTTTACAAGGAAGTTCTGAGTTTTGTTCCTAACAATTTGGAAACTGCTTTTCCAGGGTATGATGCTCTGGACATCTTTATCCCTTCAAAAATCCCCTTCTGGGTAAATTACCTAGAACTGATTCTATTATAAAAATTAAGAAACCTTTCATATATACAAATGGTAATCGCTTATGAACTTCATGAGTTCATAAATTTATGAACTAAAAAGCACCACATATTCAGAAAAAGATCTGAAGATCTATAAGATCACATAACACCCTGATGTTTAACACTGAAGAGGGAAATGGGATTGATACCTATAGATGAGGAAGGGGTGACAGCAGGCTTTTCCTTTTTCCTCAGTATACTTCTTTTTTGTTTAAATATTTTTACAGTAAGAAATAGTCTTACAATGCTGGTAATTTTTTTAATAACTTAAAATCTTCAAAAATATTAAAAGCTGATATGCCCCCTAAAGGTACCTGCCATCCTAAATGACGATAATAGTTTTACGGTACTTAAATGTGAAATTTTAAGAAAGAACAACCTGAAAACATCCTGTGGTACTTATATACACAATTTCATGTATTCTAACTTACATAACATAAAAACCTCATATTATCTTGTAACGGGGAAGGACTTTCTAACCATAACCCCAGAGGTAGAAGGAAAGCATAGCAATTTTTAACTACATAAACAAAACTGCTGAAACTGTAAACAAAGTTAAAAGATGAAGGACAAACCAGAAAAATGACCCAAAATACATACAGCAAATAATAGATTAATACACAGATAGCAAAAGACATTAAGATGTTCAATCTCATTAGATTTTTTTTTTTGTCAAATAACTAAAATTTGGTAATATTTAGTACTGAAGAGGGTGTGGGGGAAAAAAGACAGTATCAAACACTATTGGTGGGATTCTAAATTGTACCAAACTGTCAAAGGGCAATCGGAAATATACAATAAAATATTAAGTGTGCTCCATAACAAAGCAATTCTACATTTGGAAATGTATCTTATGCAAATAAATAGGGAAATACAAAAAAATGAAGACATTCATTATAGCACTGTGTATAATAGCAAAAGTTGCACAGCTTAAAAATCCACATGAAAAATTAAGCAAACACATATTCAAAAATCCATAGTATTACATGATAATGCAAAACCAAGCAGCTACGGCAAATAAAACCATAGATCCTTCTCTAATACCATGAAGTGATGTTCTAGACAGAGAATTAAGTGGAAAAGCCTGGAAACCAAGTGGCATGTTTGTATCAGTGTTACATACAGATTCATTATATAAGCAAACACTTAAATATATATATACACACATATATCTTAAACACACACACACACACACACACATACACACACACACAAACACACACACTTGGCATATATCTTAGAAAACAGGTCTGAAATACATACCAAAATGTTAACAATGGCTAGTTGAGAATGATTAAATCATAAGTGATTTTTACTTTCTTTTTTATACCTTTTCAATAGTCTGAACACTTTACAAATAAGTATTTATGCATTTTATGATAATAGTAAGAATATTTTCATTCTTTAAACAATTAATGAACAAAAATTACCTTACTAAATACCTTGTGCTTTTACCATATATTACTATTTTCTTACCTTTAAACCTTCAGCAGGAAGTCTATAACCAAATCTTGCTGGAAGATCATCAAATGTCTGAGATGCATTTTCAAAATTATACTAAATATAAAATTAAAAACAATTGAGTTACAACCAAGTTACACATAACACTAAAAACAAAAGTTTAAGTCATGATTTCTACAATTCTAATCCACTATTACAGCTTAACACAAATCAATTTTGTAAGTGTACACTCACTAAAATAGCAAGGAATATATATAATTTCCTACACATACAACTGCATAAATTAGATTCTAATTTCACATAATTATTAAATAGCACCAATTCTATTAACATTATAATACCACTTACTGCTTCCTAAGTTTTCCCCACAATTTCCTAGCAAAGAATTTTCTTTTTTTTTTGTTTTTTTTTTTGTTTTTTTTTGTTTCTTGTTTTGTTTATTGAGAGAGAGAGCACGAGTGAAGGTGCAAAAAGAGAGGGGGGCAGAGAGGATCCGAAGTGACCACTGACAGCAGACATGCTTGAAAGGGGGCTTGAACTCACAAACCATGAGATTATGACCTGAGACAAAGTGGGACACTCAAGTGACTAAGCCACCCAGGCTCCACTCCCCCCCACCCCCCACCCCCCACCCCCGCCCAGTAAGGATATTTTTTTCTTTTTTCTTTTTTCTTCTTTCTTTTTCTTTTTTTTTTTTTTCTGAGAGAGAGAGACAGCGTGAGCAGAGGAGGGTCAGAAAGAGAGGGAGACACAGTATCTGAAGCAGGCTCCAGGCTCTGAGCTGTCAGCACAGAACCCAACGTGGGGCTCGAACCCACGAACCGTAAGATCATGTCCTGAGCCCAAGTCCGATGCTTAACCGACTGAGCCACCCAGGCCCCCCCCCCCAAAAGGATTTTCTAAACAGATTATTTTCCTGCAAGAGTTCCATTTGACTTTCTCTAAAGAGTCTGATTTAATGGAAGAAATATACAGGATATCCGGCTCTAGCTACGAAAGTTACCTTTTCCCCAGAGAAAGCAGAAGCATCCAATCATTTTTAAGAAATCGTCATTTGGGAGGAGTTAGTGTGGCAGAGAAGAATAGGAACCTGGATTTCCCTTATCCCTCAAACACAGCTGTAGGGAGGTCAGAACACTTGGAACACCCACGAAATCAGTCTGCAAAGGGACGGGAAAATCTCCACAGGTGGAGGGAAATAGGTTGACAGAACCGAGGTGCATGTATGTGAATTGGGGGAGATAAAACGGTGGCATAGACACAGAGTGGGGGAAACCCTTCTGTGGAGCGACAAAAGGGATAGAGAGGCTATGGAAGTCCCGTACTGTGTCCTGTCAGGACAAGAGAAAAACCTCTCCAGATCACAGATTAGGGGACAAGAAACAGGGAGCGTGCCAGTTTCCACTTTGTAAACAGCCTTAGGAGCTGAAGATTGGAGTTTTCAAAAGTGTGGGACTTTCTCTGGACTGGAGCCGCTGCCAAGGGTGGGCACCTGGGGAGGAGGGGAGCCAGCCCCAGGAGCGGTGGGATCTCAGGGGGCACTGGGAGAGAACAGTCCCTTCCCTGAGTTCTGTAGGGAGAGGATGTATTTTGCCACCTCCATGGACAAAAGACCCCGCAGGTGAGGTGCCAGCCAGGGGGCCTTTGTTGACTGGGCAGAGAGGCACTACCCCAGAACCAGGTCCACGCAGTATGGGATCCTTTAAAACATCCGGTTTTGAACCCCAGCAGAATGCCTAGGAGACAAGGGGGGCTATGGTCCAGGGCAAGCTGACCGCCAGCACTGCTCTGTGAGGGGCTACCTGAACAGCGTGGGGTTGAGACACCCAGTCCAGGGATGAGAGATTGGGGCGTCGCCATTTTTCTCCCCATCACCAACACAGCGGGGCTTCAGGGAACCGGACAGCCGGCCCTGTGGAGGCGGGACCGCTTGCACCAAACCCCGCCCCTCCGTGCCTGGCACCCGCGTATCTACTTGAGCAGGACTGACACTGAGTGAACCAGACCGCCTCTCCTCCAGACCAGCGTGGCACCAGTCCCAGGCACCAACAACTACCCTGTTTTATATGTTAGTCTGGTTTTCTTTTTTCTTTTCCTTTCTTCTCTTCTCTTTTCCCTTCTTTTTCTTTCCACCGCCCCTCCCCCCAACCTTTTTGTTTCCTTTGGAATCAGGCTTATTGTTTCGGATTTGAGTTTTGGTCAACTCTTATTATACATATCTTTCGTTCTTTCTCTGTTCTGGTTGTTTGCTTAATCAAACATTTTTACTCTATTCTCTTTACACTTTTTCTGTATCTCCTTTATTCCCCCCCCCCCCCACTCTTTCTCTCTCTCTGTCTCTCTCTCTCTCTCTCTCTCTCTATGCCTTATTCTCTGTTACTTTGATTCTCTGCCTGGTCATTTTTTTTTTAATTCACCTCTTTCATTTTTCTCTTTGTATGGAATAAGTTTTCCCCTCATCCCCTTTACTTTTTTTCCAGGGTTACTTCAACAAACAAATCAAAGCACACCTGGTAAGAGGTCTAAATGACTCATTACTAAGAGCAGTGGGATAGAGCAGCCAAATGCAACAGGGTGCACACTACACGCTGTAAAAACACTACCTGAAGTGCCAGGCCCTGTACAGGGTATATGACCCCTTTTTAACGTAGTAGTACTCGCAGGTGCAGGTTATAACAAGCTATTAAAATGTAAAAGACAAGAAACTAGCTAAACTGACTAAACAGAAGAACTCTCCTCAAAAGAAATTCTGAGAAGAAATGACAGCCAGAGAATTGCTCAAAACAGATATAAACAGTATATCTGAACAAGAATTTAGAGTAACAGTCCTAAGACTAATAGTTAGCTATTAGAGAGCATAGACAGCAGAAAATCTATTGCTGCAGATATCAAAGACCTAATAGTCAAGATGAATTAAGAAATGCTGTAAATAAAGTGCAAATAAACTAGATGCAGTAACACCAAGGATGGAAGAAGCAGAGGATAGGTGAAATAGAAGATTAAATTATGGAAAATGATGAAGCTGAAAAAGAAGGAAAGGAAATTACTAAACCACAAAGGGAGAATTAGAGACCCAAGTGATTCAATGAAACAAAATAATATCCTCATCACAGGAGTTCCAGGAGAGAGAGAGAGAAAGGGTCAGAAGGTTTATTTGAATAAATCATAGCTGAGAAATTCCCTCATCTAGGGAAGGAAACAGACATCCAAGTCCAAGGGGCAGAGAACTCCCTTCAAAATCAACAAAAACAGGTCACCACCATGACATATCATAGTGAAACTGGCAAAATACAAAGATACAGAATTCTGAAAGCAGCTAGGGACAAAGAGGCCTTAACCCACAAGGGTAGACACATAAGAGTAGTAGCAGAGCCGTCCACTGAAACTTGGCAGGCCAGAAGGGAGTGTCAGGAAATATTCAATGTGCTGAATAGGAAAAATATGCAGCGAAAAAAACTTTATCCAGCAGGGATCATTCAGAATAGGAGAGATAAAGCCTTTCCCAGACAAACAAAAACTGAAGGAGTTCATGACCACCAAACGAGCTCTGCAGGAGATCCTAAGGGGGACTCCGTGAGTGGAAAGCAGCAAAGACTACAAAGGACCAGAGACATCACCATAAGCACGAAACCTACAGATAACACAATGACACCAAATTCGTACCTTTCAATAATCACTTGAACGTACATGGAATAAGTGCCCCAATCAAAAGACATAAAGTATCAGGATGGCTTAAAAAAAAAAAAATCCATCTATATGCTGTCTATAAGAGACTCATTTTAGACCTGAGAACATCCCCTTACAGACTGAGAGTAAGGGGATGGAGAACGATCTATCATGCTACTGGACAGTGAAAGAAAGCCAGAGTAGCCATATTGGTATCAGGCAAACTACATTTTATGAAAAAGACTGTAAAAAGAGATGAAGAAGGGCATTGTATTATAATTAAGGGGTCTATCCATCAAGAAGAGCTAACAATTGTAAATGTTCATGTCCCAAATGTGAGAGCACCCAAATATATGAGTCCATTAATCACAAACATAAACAATCTTACTGATAAGAATGTGATAATTGCAGGTGACTTTAATACTCCACTTACAGTAATGGACAGATCATCTAGGCAGAAAATCAATAAGGAAACAACAGCTCTGAATGACACATTGGGCCAGATGGACAGAATACACATTCTTCTTAAGTGCACATGGAACATTCTCCAAAAGAGATCACATACTGGGTCACAAAACATCCTTCAACAAATAAAAGAGGACTGAGATCATACCATGCATATTTTCAGATCACAATGCCATGAGACTTGAAATAAACCACAAGAAAAAATTTGGAAAGCCTCCAAATACATGGAGGTTAAAGAACATCCTACTAAAGAAAAAATGGGTCAACCAGGAAATTAAAGAAGAAATTTAAAAATGTATGAAAGTAAATGAAAATGAAAACATAACAGGGGTGCCTGGGTGGCTCAGTCGGTTGAGCGTTCGACCTCGGCTTAGGTCGTGATCTCACGGTTTGTGGGTTCGAGCCCCGCGTTGGGTTCTGTGCTGGCAGCTTGCTCAGAACCTGGAGCCTGTCTCAGATACTGTGTCTCCCTCTCTCTCTGACCCTCCCCTGCTCATGCTGCCTCTCTCTCTCTCTCTAATAAATAAAAAACGTTTAAAAAAAATGAAAATGAAAACATAACAGTCCAAACACTTTGGGATGCAGCAAAGGCAGTCCTAAGGGGAAAATATATTGCAATTCAGGCCTATCTCAAGAAGCAAGAAAGGTCGCAAACACATAACCTAACCTTGCATCTAAAGGAACTAGAAAGGCAGGAGCAAAGAAAGCCCAAAGCCAGCAGAAGAAGAAGAGAAATAATAAGTCTTAGAGCAGAGGGGCGCCTGGGTGGCTTAGTTGGTTAAGCGTCCGACTTTCACTTAGGTCATGATCTCGCGGTTTGTGGGTTAGAGCCCCGCGTCAGGCTCTGTGCTGACTGCCAGCTCAGAGCCTGGAGCCTGTTTCAGTCTGTGACTCCCTCTCTCTCTGACCCTCCCCTGCTCACGCTGTCTCTCTCTCTCTCTTTCTCTCCTAGAAATAAATAAAAA